ACAGAGTAATGCCCTTTTATAACAGGGTCCTGCGTATTATATTTAGTACCTGAGGGTCCAGTAGGTCGAGGAGCCAATGTAGGCATCGGTCCACCACTATTGCAAAGATCCCCCTCACAACAGCCAAATTCACAGTCCACAAGAAAACCTGTTGAGTTGGCAAGTTTACATGTGTAGTCAAGCATAGCCGTGTTACACGTCAATGAAGTAGTGCAGTTGCGAATGTCGGTAAGAATATCAGTGAATCCTCCTTGTTTATTAGCCATTTTCATTTTGGTCCTTGAAAAACGATGAAAATTGGATTATTTAAGTTAACTTTCAACAGCAATAGCTTAAGTATCGTACACTTGCACAGATAAAACGTTTTTCAAATCATTAAATCATGGCAATATTAATCATCACCCCACCCCTACCCCCACCCTACCTTTCTGCACCTTGATTAAACTTTTACATACCTCCCTCCATGAAACACTTTGTTCTGTTTATTGCCTAAGTAGTATCCTGCACGGATACCTGTGCCATCTTGAAAGGCAGCCGTGCCTTTACATCGAAGCGAGGTAACCGTTGAGCGTGCAATGATAGATACCTGTGAATAATTGTCTGTAGGTGCGAAAGAAGGTTTCTATCATTGCACGCTCAATGGCTGTCTCGCTTCGATGCAAAGGCACGGCTGTCTTTCAAGATAGCGCAGATAACCGTGAAGGAGACTATTCCGTAAACCTAATTTTGATGTTCGTTATTACCACCCAGATACTACTGTACAAAACCTCTTTCTATATTTATCCCTTTTAATAGAATAAATTGAAACATTATTTCTTTTTCAACAATTAATATGATAGCAACTGCATTCAAAACGGCAGACGAAAGTACATCAGAATAGCTCATTCTTTTTAAAAGACTTTCGAAATACTACCATGCCTTTAAACAACGTTTACATATAAGATCATTGCTTTGATAAAGTTTCCTCGTCATTAAGCATCGGTCAGTGGGCAATCCACCAACTGAATCAGGGCACGTGATTTCAGTTTGCGGAGCTGGACAAACATATGTTTGAGATGATAACATACCAGGCGGCAATGCTCCACTATAATTTTGACAACAGCATAATTTTGTCTACAGCATTCCAGCCGTCAGTACAAAATTGTTTGCTAAATTGAAAGGTTTAATAAAATCTCAGAAAGCTCAATTAAATGATGTCAGGGAATAGATATATTTTATTAGTTTTGAATGTAGTAGCAGTTTTTCGAAAATTCTTATGAAGAGATCTTATTAAACAAGACAATAGACGACTTCAATAACTTAACGACTGAAATCTTTTCTTTTGCTAGCGAAAGATTGAGTTTTTGACAATTTTCAAATTAAGATTGTAGCATTTTGAACAATATAAAATATGTTTGTTCACTTTTCTCAGGCTTAACTACAACTGAAGTCCTAACTAAGGACTTGTGCTTTTGCTTTGAAAACCTTCTTGTAATAACTGCAAGTTCGCTTTCTCTTTGCTTGTAGCCTGACTTCATTCCAAACTTTCTCGTTTGAAAAACTTTTCTTTTCTTCACGTTATATATACAAAGTCAAAATCAAAGTCTGCACAAAATGCTACCCTAATAAGTTAACCTTGAGATTGTTTTATTGGGATTGTTAGCTGTCTTTTTGGCAAACTATTTCATGTCAAATCCGCCATTTCGCTCCAAGCAAAACACAGTACTCGTCCAAAGTCCAGCCTTACAGTTAGCTAGGGTTTGAAGTATGGAAAAACTTAAAAATTTATAGAATATAATTCTCTTTTAATCGTGTCTAACTTACCAACGTGTCAAAAGCAAAGAAGTACTCCGAAAATGCGTAGGAAAACACCAGAAGACACCATATTGATCTTGTGCAGATATGTGCTAAAGATTACTTATTGTAAGGGGGTGGGGAGGAAAGAGAAGGATCCAGGGGAGTGGGGACGGGATTTGCTGGATATACAACCTCGCAGTTTTTGGAAATATATGTACAAATAGGTACTAAAAACCAATTTTAAAACGTTCTTGAATGTACCTTGTTATATATAAAGGTATGTGTGAAGGTCATACAAATAATCATGTATTTTTCGTATTAACTTCATTTTGGTGTATTCTTACACGCTAAACTCTCAATTGAAGATTGACACGAACTTTTTTGCTGACTTCAGTCACGCAAACTTCATGATTTCGAAATTTGTTCTTGGGGTTCTTTCTCCTTCAGTCGCGTCCCAACAGTGACTTAAGACAGTTCTTTACAGGCGATAAAAGAAAAACAAAATCCATCTGAGAAAAACGTTTTATTTAATAGTCGCTTTCAAACAGTTCAATCAATCGATATTTTGCGACCTGATTCTTGTATATATGATATAGAATGATATAGATATAGATCTATGCCGCGAGCAGGGAGATAACTCCCACATGCTTTTAGTTTGTCAACAAGTAAAAAAAAACTGTCACTATGCTGTTCTGTTCTATAATCTTAATGCTACCCATGCATGTTCGATAAGAGTACGCACTATAGAAAATGATCACTTCGAATTGTTAAAGTACTACGTGCATCCAAGAACCTGTGCAAAGTATTCGCATATTTGCTATCTTTGATTTTAGTTCAATTCGGATCCTTTTAAGAAAAAAAAACAAACAAACAGAGCGGTTGCTATCGTAATGATTTGAAAATGCTTGTATCATTATCTATATGACATGGGATTGCTTTAAGGCATCTATTGTGCAATAAATGAGCTAATGCCTACAATGACAAAAAACATCCGCATTGAAGCGGAAAGAATACACGAAGAAGAGGCTGGGTCCGTGCTAGTGTTAGGGCTGTCAGTGTTGGAGCTGTCAGTAGTGTTGTTGTGGCTGCCAGTGTTAGGGCTGTAAGTAGTGTTTGTGGGGATGTCAGTGTTGCGGTTGTCAGTGTTACACAGCTTTCCAGTACAGCACGAGACATTGCAGTTACTAACTGAACCAAAATTTCTTCTCAATTCTTCGCAAATGGCTTGGTTGCAAGCAAGTGAATAACTACAGTTACGCATTTCCTGTGGGATACCAGACAATTTGAGTGTTACGCGAATACAACGATCCTGCTTCAATCCTGGTATGTAGCCAACGTCCCCGCATGTTTGCTTGGCTGGACTGGAGCATKTTGCACTAGCAGTTTCTATCCCAGGAATTTGCATGCTTGCACACGAGTAGCAAGACAGGTCAGAACCTTAAAGATAAATGAAATAATTATTAAAAAAAACATAGTTATGAGCATCTTCATCATCATCAGGAGCAGCACTGTTTATTGTGTACTGTACCTGACGGCCCGGTGGGTTGAGGAGCAAATGTWGGTATYGGTCCACCACKATTACAAAGATCCCCCTGACAACATCCCATTTCACAGCTCTCAAGGTTGCCTGAGACGTTGGCATTCTTGCATGCAATGTCGCGAGTAACACTGTTGCATCCGAATGAAGTCGTACAGTTCCGGACATCAGAAATGATTTCAAAGGTTCCTCCACTTAGTGGATTTGATTGTTTCATTTTCATCCTTAAAATCAAAGTATATCATTGCATTTATAAAATAGCTTGTAGACTCCTTCATTGTTTCCTTGCGCCATATTGAAAGGTAACCGTACCTCTTCGTCGAAGCGACGAAGCGAACGACCGCCCACACGACCGCACCCCCGACCGCCCTCCCTTATAAAAGTTGGTACCTTTTAGGATCCTGATCTGACTCCGTACCTTTTAGGGTCAATTTTCGAAGAACGGGAAAAAAAGAAGTGTTATAAAGATTAATCTCAACAACAGTCAACGATCTATCGTCATTGATTTTCTACAGTTTGTTAAACTTGAGCTTTTCTCTTGTTAAAGACGTCAAAAATGCTCGTACCTTTTAGGGTCTTGAATCGATACCTGAATTAATTTATGCGTATCTTTTAGGGTCATTTTTCAATCCGTCCGTCGAACATACCCACCGGGGACGACCGTTCAGTGTGCAATGGCATGGTTCCTTTCAAGATGGCGCAAGAAACCGTGACTATTACTTATTTAATATTCATAACGTAAGCTCTAACACCGAGTACAAAATTTAAGCTAAGATATCAAATAAATGAAATATCTTTATAACTAACATTTTATGTTTTATTCAATCTCAATGAATACCTTACCTCGTTGTCATGCATCGGTCAGCGGGTGTTCCCCCAGGAAGAGGAGGGCACGTGACTTCCGCCATTGGACGAGGGCAACTATATCTTGGCGCATGCTGTGGCACATCACCAGTAAAATTCTGGCAAATTCCGACGTTGCATTTCAATGCATTACCTTCATTATATAACAATAATACTCAGTTAATAGTTCGAAGAAACCTCAGATCAACATGTCAAATGTTAGTGTTTAATATATGTCTTATTTTTGATGGTATTTAATATATTTTTTACTCGGGTTTGTTACAAGGACAGCGACAACAATTATTTAGCTAAAATTGAGATCAGCTCTACCAGCAAGTCATCCGAGCATTCGTAGAATATGCATGTGCGGCTTACCAAAACATCATGGATGTTTATGAACTAGTTTTATGTAAAAAGATAAATTTAACACCGTAAAAAAGTATGTATATATAAGTATGTAAGTATACCTAGTTCTCCCTCTTTACTCCGACGAAGGATTAACATCCGAAACGTCGGTAAGTTTTTCCACATACTTTTTTATGGTGTTAGATTTATCTTTTTACATAACTGTTTCTTTAGAAACACCGACGCAGCTCACACTAGTTTACCGCTAGTTCCCACCATTTGTTTATGAACTAGACGCTCTTGGAGCGTGAAGTCGGGCTAGCTATTTTTGAAAATTGAGWAAGACAGGATATTCTATGGGATATATGGGTGCGCGTATAGGAGAGCGAGTGAAAGGTTTTAAACACGATAAGATTATGATGTTATACTGTGTCTAATCATATGATTATACATGAATGTAAATTATGGCGTACAATATATATTTTTTTTCTTCTAGTACATAGTGAAAGCAAGAATGTGTTACTTTCACTTTAATTAATGTACTATTCAAAACTGTTTATTCACACGATACGATATTCTGAAAAAAAAAACGATAGAATTATCGAACCAGAAAAAAAAAAACATATTTCTTATTTTTTTCCAAAATAGCCGATTTCACGGTCTAATAAGACCGTCTATTTCTTGAGAGTTAAATTTGACCTAAAAGGTCATGTAATTAACACCGATAATTCAATTATTTTAATGCAATGTTACTAACAAAAAAGAACTACTTAAAGTATACTTTACAAAATAAATGATGCCTATAAAATAATCAAATTTGCCTTTTTGTTATTGATAAACAAAGTTTCTTCTTGTTCTAATTTGAAATGTTTGCCCACACAAGACTGCCTAACGCTAGAAAGGCCATTGATTGAGTTTCGTAGTCATACTACTCGAAATTCCATGCGATTCGCACATGCGCGTACTTCTGATGTCTTGACTGATGTATTCCGATGAGATCACAGATACCACATTTGTAAACCAATAGTTTTCCGGTGGTCCAAACGCGACAAAATACAAAGTTAGATAGATCGATTCATTGGCAAAGAGGTAAAACTCAAGTCGGGCCCCGACTAATAAATTGAAGATGTGATTTCATCAGCTTTAGTTTGTGACGATGTCCGAGTTAACCTATTTTGAAAGGTCATTCAGAACGTTCCGGCGAATCATGCTCATCTAGCCTGCGTATATCCGATAACACAGGCTAGTTCAGACTTGTCAGTTTAGCTTTGTGTGTTTGTTTGTTTAATTTGCTACACTCTTTTACTCCTTTTGCACGTTTTTTTCATTATTACGCTTTGATTGTTAATGTAAAATAAAAATACTTTTTTGGAAAGCATCGATGAATTATTCCAGTTCCAACCCATACCCAGATGTTCACAAACGTCTAGTCAAAATATCACTTTTGAATAAAGATGGCGAAGAGCTGAACCATGCWGAGACTTCTCGGTGAATTTGTCACGAAAAATGCATTATAACTGGATTTAGTACAAAACAAGCGGCAATGTCGAAAGGAATGATTGCAGTATATCACATCGTGACATGGCTTGTGTTTCGATGTTTATGTATCGGCGGGTTGTGTTTGAATAAACATAAGGCGTATATCTCTGCGTCTTYCTGCTGGTAATATATTTAATGTATAAACAGAACATTAGACTACTTTGTGATTCATCGCGCAAAATACKAGGTTTTTTCATTTAAACGTGATGAGTTATTCAACGCAGACCTACACAGGTTTCACACGGTTATATCGATACATCTACATGATGATGAGTGCTTCTACAGCACTAGCTTGATCGTGTATTGATCGTAGAAGACCTCATTGAAGAGTYACTTATAGGAACTCAAAGAGCTCAAATCTTACTTACCAGTTTGAAGAAAGAAAAGAAAGACTCCAGTGTAGAGAAAGAGGTTATAGATACAGGATCCCATGTTACCAACTGTGTATGATGACATTTAACTATGTGGGTAAGGTATGCATAACTTGTATACTATCCCTAGAGGTCATCGATAATGCATTAGTCAAATGAAACCCGCCCCAATCCCGGTGTTAAAATAAGACATTTCCCCCGGTAGTCGGGGTCACATTCATTGTTAAAATTCCCTCTACTCTTGACACGCTATCTTGGTCTAGTAGCAAATAACAAAACAAACACCTTTCAATCAATTTTCTGTGATAACCTGTGATCCTGTGCACTCATGTTCGTACATGAGGCTAACAGTGATCGGAGCTAAACATGTGCAATAAGTTTCTTTAAAAAAAAAAAATTCATGCAAGGAAAAACAAACAAATAGAAAAAACATGGTTGAATACCAATGCCGGATATTTCTCAAGATGGCCGACCTCTAGTTTCCAGCCTCATATGTTCAAATGAGCGTTAAACTCCCCGCTCTTTGCCCCGCTACGAAAAAAAAACATCAAAATCCCGAGCCCCCAGGGGCAATCTCTGTTAAAAGCACGTTAAAAATGCTTSACGCCCCCGTTCAGTGCCCCGCTAGCCCCGGGGGTCGGGGGGTGGGGGATTTCAATTGACTAGTGCATAATCAACAGACTGGATTCCTTGACCACTGTATCAGATGTATTCTTCTTGAACCTAGTGTTCGTGCACTCATTCCGATTTTATCCGACACATTGTCCATTTTTTTGTACATATTGTAAATAATTTATAACCTTAACTGAATTATAATCCTGAATGAGTTATTCAGGGTTTTTTTTAACTCAAAATTTCTCAAATACTTAAAAACAAGAATCACATTTGTTTACTTTGAAGAGACGAACTGTCCACGATAGGTTTTTGTATAGATTACCTTTAAATTGTCTTGACTGTAAACAGACACGATGTAACGATCACTGTTTCACTATATGAAGGGGAAGTCATACGGCTATACGTAATACTCCCATGACATTGCCATGMGTTCGAGATCTTTTTTTATTCAGCCTTAACCTCGAAAGCATGTAATGTGTACATTCTTTTATTCGGCAGAGAATCTTTTCATAGTAATGCAAACACTCTGTATACAAAGAAGACAATAAACAATTTATGCTTGATTGAAGCTAAGCTTGCACAAAAGAGAAACTGGAGTATTCCATGTGGTCATGTTTTATTTCGCTTTCTACCACATCACAGCATTGCTACAACTGATATTGATCAGATTCATTTTTTTTTTTTTTGTGGTTTATAATCCTACCTAATATACTACCTCTAAGAACGTTGCCATTATTGGCTCCGAATGAAATTAATTCCTGGATTCCATGAACAAATTCGCAAAGCATTCTCTTTTTTGTCGTTAGTGCCTTGTTTACGACTAGGAACATTTCAAGTCACAAATTTGGACGGATTTTTCTTTCTTAATATCGTATGCCATTACCCCGCATTCCATGTCATGGCTGTAGATTTCTTATTAGTATACAGAGCAATAGTCCATACGCTACTGTGGTAGTTATTTTGCTTCAATTTTGTTCAGTTATAATGACGTAAAAGACAGAAACAAAGTCATTTCTATATGTCAAACTTTTTAAATTCTTTGCGAGAATCTTCATCACAAAGTTCCAAAAATGCTCTACAGTGTCAATAACATTCACTGTTTGTCTAAAGTTTATAATTACAATTAGTTTCCAATTCACTAGGTTTTCTTTGTTATTCATAGGGTTGTATATACCATAGAAACTTAAAGCCGGGGAGGGATTTGATATTCAGCAGGGAAATGTGGGGTTGATGAATTGAATTGAATAGCTCGTTATAAATTCAGCAGGCTATATATGAGTTGAATTGAATAGCTCGTTATAAATTCAGCAGGCTATATATGAGTGACCGGAATCACTCATATATAGCCCGCTGAATTTATAACGAGTTATTCAATTCAATTCATCAACCCCACATTTCCCTGCTGAACATCAAATAAACTAAGTAAACTAAACTATTTTTCCCCTAAAAAAGACCAGTGCGGCCAGCAAAACTTGAGGAGATTTAGAGTGTAATAAGTTCGAGTCCCGCAGCTTTTCTTCATATGTTCATCAGAGAATAGAGACAACAATAACCAAGATCTTCGCCGTTACTTTTAAAAGAATCTATTCTTCGGAATTAACCATCGTGTATGAATCAGAAGTAATCGGTGTGACTTGGTCCATTCTATCCAAGCACGTACACACGACCATTTGGTACTTTAGTTTGTTCCTTCTTGAATCCTTCCCTCGTATTTTTTCGAGCGAGTTCAACATCAAAAACCTTGTAATTTTTCTCATTTTTTCCCATCTGCAGACTTTGTCATCGTTATTTGCGGGAAGAAGCATGCGGAGTTCCAAATCCGATAGCAAATCGTCAATATCAAAGTTCGTCAAAGGAATGATGTCAAACGTATTTTGAGCTATAAACAAATCGTCACTGTTCGACATCGTTTCCAGAATGACTGCTAAGAATATTTGATAACAATATTCAAATTTCGATTGCTCGCTTTCGCATGAACAGGTTTTCTTAAAGGAAACTAATTTCAACAGTCCATGAAATAGTCTCAAGAGAAGAGGATTCTATTGTTCGAAACCCAACTAAGAAAACATTCATCAAGTCTATTCAGTTTTTGCGAAAACCACGTGAATTGAAAACTAAGTTTGTTAGTTACCTCGCACGTCGGCATTACGCTATATACAGCCCTCGGGCCTGCGGCCCTCGGGCTGTATATAGCGTAATGCCTCCGTTCTCAGTAACTAACTCTTACTTCTTCCTGAAAGCTTTTAAAAAACCTATTTATGCAAATGACTTGTTGTTGTCTTTGAATATAAGTAACCAAATTAATGGGATTGACCATTAGGTTATTGTTACAAAGTCAATAATAAAAAATTAAGTCTTTCTATGGAGTTCAACAATCAGTCATCACTACAAACGTTTACGCTTCTCTCGTGCTCTCCCTACGTCCCGCGTGTTTTGATTAGAGTATCAAACACGGAATTTCGTCTTTTATTTCTTTTCTAAAATTAAAAGAATACGAAAATTGTAAAGAATTCTGACTTTTGATACGATATGAAACGAGCGTGTTTTGATTTAAGGAATAAAAGACGAAATTCCGTGTTTGATACTCTGATCAAAACACGCGGGATGTAGGGAGAGCACGAGAGAAGCGTAGGAAACCACTCCGCGTAGTCTTTTATTTCTTTTCTAAAATCAAAAGAATACGAAAATTGTAAAGAATTCTGACTTTTGATACGATATGAAACGAGCGTGTTTTGATACTGTAATCAAACATGGTTTTCGACCAATCACAGCGCGCGTAGTATCCTAAATATTTTAGAAACTGTAATCAAACATGGTTTTCGACCAATCACAGCGTGCGTAGTATCCTAAATATTTTAGAAACTCCACTAATTTTTAATAAGCCTTTTCCCATTTCAATGCCAGCGACCACTGTTTTATAGTAGACAGCAGACTCACTTGAAATAACAGTACATACCACCATCACAAGATTGTTCTCTTTTTTTCTAGGATTGTTATCTAATTGCAGAATATCTATCTTTTTGTGTTAAAAGCAAATTTACGATTTTATATTAGTTGTTTCGCGTGGTATGTCCTCTTTTTTTCAACGGTCGGCACCATCTCATCGTCTCGTAAACGAACAAAACTTTTGACAATTCGGTAATTTATAATGATATAATAATTTATAATTTTTTTTTCTTTTTTGAAGGGAGGGAGGGGATGATTTCAATTGTCTCGTATCAATTATTTTARATTGACAGTACGATACAACTAAGTAGTATAACATAGAAGAAATGGACCAACCACAGCCATAACTGCTGCTTTCAACGACGATTGTGTGACAACACCCCGTGACTGCACCATTGCGTTACCATTCGTTGGAGACGGATTCCTTGGTGATGCAAATGTAGTCATAACCACCTCGGTCTCTGTATTTGGTCTTATTGTACCAACATTGGAAGCAGTTAAGGCGTCACTATTGCATAGGTTTCCATAGCAACATGATACGTCACAGTATGTAAGGGMTCCCGCTGAACTCCTATTGGCAGGCTTGCAGTAGTTGTCTCCATTGCAATAAATTGCATCGCTGCAATTACGTAATTCCTGAGTGACCAAGCCTTTTTTAAYCGTAATTGTCATGCACCGGTCCTGCACCAGYCCTGTGTTCCCAGACTTCCCGCATSTTTGCTTGAGTGGAGASTGGGAACAATRGTTGTCTGAATTGGAGCCACTCTTGATWGAAACGCAGGAATAACAGCTCAAATCAGCACCTCAAGATGCAAAAACATTGATGAATAATTGATTATTCATTTATAATATCAATTAAACATGGCCGTATCTTGATATTTTTGAAAAGAAAACGATGATCGTTTTCGCGTAAATCKCACATGAGATTATGCGGTTTCAAAAATTCCGAATACTCTTGAATATAGCCCGAATCCGTTTGCSAGATGTCAACGTGCAACTTTGTATTTAGTGTCGATCAGTTACCAAGAAGAGAAAGTTATAATTGGCATGTGCGAATGAGCTTCTTGAAAAGCGGGTGTAAACATTTGAGACGGTATAAGACGATGTTTAATGAATATTTGTTTGCGCAAATGTTCTGCAGATTGTCAAGTCTACACCGCCAAAGRAGAGAAGTCGACGAATTATACAATATTATACTAACGACCTCGGCAGTTTGCTGAAGAAGTAATTAAACTGAATATAGAATATTAGCCGATGTTTTAATCGTAAGTAGCTTTAAATCTTTATGTATTTAATTCGTTGGAGCTGGATTTTGCGAATTATATTAGAATAAGGTGTATTACCTGTATTGTGAATTAGCGGCATATTGATTACAAATGAATGCACACATCTGCCATTTTGGTTTTTGAGGAATTACGCACATTCTGTGTAGAGGATTAAGTTACCATACTTAGCTTACTAAAAGAAAGTCTTAGAAGTTTGAAGTGCGTGCGTACGACCGAAATTACCCTGCGTACAGAGTGTATTTTACCTTACCTCAATAAAAACGAAGTTCGTGAATTTTTTACTGAGGTAAGGTAAATAACACTCTGCTCGCAGGGTATACCGAAATTTGAATGGCAATATTRATTCAAYCAAGAAAAGACACTCAACATTTTGTATTTTGTGATCATAGTGAAGGTCGCGGCCATGGTCTGATCTTCACTAAATGCTATCGGTTATAATGAGCGCCCACATTGTAAAAAYCTCTATATTACGATCACCTCTATATTACGACCGTAKTACACTGATACAACCACTTTTCTTAGGTGTTTTAGACTGCATTTGTCAACACATACCAATTGGATGGCTTGGTCTTGTGGTTTCCTTGGTGATCGACCCAGTATTWTTGTTACATAGGTCTCCATGACAACAACTCATTTGACAGTGGCTGTATTTTCCAGTTTTGTTCCCAACTTTGCACACTTGATCGGGGATACTGCATAACGCTGCGTTAGTACAGTTACGAATTTCTTGGTGTACAACTTCATCAGAAATAGTGATTGTTGCTCTGGGAAAAAATAGCGTTATTGCGTCATAGTCCAGCCAACTATACTGGAAAAAATCGCGATCCTTGTAAATTTAATGTAAATATGATGAATTCAATCTATGATAATTACAAATCCCTTAAGTGTCCAAAATCATGGAAATATCGTGTTAATTTGGAATTTAATTTACATAATATTTCTATTAAATACTTACAATGTTTGTCAAAACGGTGTGTAAATGTGATGTAAATCAATCAAGTTTACAATGTATGTAAAAAGTGTGTAAATTTAATGTAAATATTATGTAAATGTCCAAAATCATGTATATATTCCTTACATTTTTTTCCAGTGTAAGTTGTATGAAAAGGGCAAATAAAACGTTCGTCCAATGATAACAGCCTGAAAACATATTCTTTGTTTTTCACTATATGTCTATACGTCAAGCGGTCATCTTGGCTGAATTCAACAAAGGATTTCTTATTAGTGTCTATTAATCCAACATGGCCGACGCTCTTTGTCTTTTGATTCTCAAAATGATCAAAACGAGCAATAATTCTCCATATCAGCTATTCCTCATCCAATAATAGCTTAGTTAAAGTGTATATACCTGATTGTCATACACCGATCGAGACCTCGTTTGGCGCAATTTGTTTCTTCTACATCGCACGGGAGACTTGAACCGTCTTGGAATCTATGACACAGTGACTCGTAGCATTGTAAAGCAGAACCTGGAAGTACATAACGGAAGGTTTTTTATATAACGGGAGCTTTCAAGCACTGACAATCAGAATATTTTAGTATATTTTTGTTTTTTTGACGTTTCCAAACAGTTTGTTTATGACTGAACATAATGCAAAACAAGAGATTGGCTGTACTATATAGAGGCACCTATATCTCATGTAAACATAGCCTAACTGCAAAGTTTTTAGCAGAGAGCAGCCGGGCTATCTGAGGTTTTCTTCTTTTCAAAATGATGCTATTTCCGCGGACAAAGGTTGTCGGGATATTCGACAATGCAAAACTGACAGTAACTTGGGCTAGTGAGTATATTGATAGCTGCACTGCTCACCCACCAAAGACAGACAATGATATTGTGTTTTGTAACATATAATTAATATTTGACACTCTTGTATGGAAATTGGACTAATAGCTTAGGCCCAGTTCATACGTCGAGCCAGCGTCGCGCCGAACCAAATAGTCAATTTGTGTCGACCCAAATCCATTTGGTACGTCGTTGATTCATACGTCGAACCAAATGTAGTCAAAAGCATAAGAAAAGGTGCGATAACACGCAATTTACACAATTATTATTGTCGAAAACAGATATTTTTGTGAATTAAGTTCGGCACGACGATAGCTCGACGTTTGAATCAGCATCGAGCTTTTGCCGTGCAGCACGACTGACTCTGCCGTGCCAATGCCGTGCTATGGTCGCGCCGAACTCAATTGATTCATACGTCGAGCTGTTCATGTGCTAAATTMAAACTATTTGGTTCGGCGCGACACTGGCTCGACGTATGAACCGGGCCTTATTCATAATGTACAATTTTTGTATAAAATATCATAGAATATCCTCATGAAACGAAGAATTAAAAGATGTAAGAGTAAAACTGACTTTATTCAAGGGAAATTAATTAAGAGTCAAGACCCTATAGCATTGTGGTTAGCTGAGCTCCTTTAGATGTAATTAAACATCTTATACTCAAGATTTATCTTTTGTTTTCAATATCGATAGAAGTTTGATACTTCAAAGAATGAACGATCTGGATAAGACACTGATGAAGGATCAAAGGAAAGAGCTTAACGTCAATAAACTATCACAAGTGTGATATTGTCTTGAAATTTCGCATATTTATTTTTTTGGATATTGATCATTTATAGTACTAAATAACGCAAAACTAAAGAAAACCATTTTAAAACACATATTTAATAAGTATAAATGAAGAGTTTTTAAAAATGTACAGTTTTCCAGTCTTATATTTTTTAGTTTATTATAATTTTCCTTCGCAGTATGAGACTTCGCTGTCCTATTTCATTCAAGAGAGCTTTCACTTTTAATAATTTGATTTATTCAATTCCATTCATGTCAAAAAAAACTTCATGACAATCGGTAGCTCTCAACAAAAAAATGTCACAAACCAGGCACGTCCCTGCACAAACGAAGTGTAGAAAACATATTTTGTTTAGGGCAACCTTAATCTTCACAATACAATGAATTGTTTTCTTCAGAATTTTAAAACACTTTATAATTATTATTAAATATGTCCTGGTATTTTCTTTCATATCAACAAAACATACACTTACGCATTCAATAATGCATTATACAAATACGCTTTTCCACGATAACAAATACTCCCATTTCATTGTATTTACGAATGATATATTGTAAGCGCTGATCTATTATTTTGAAAACTCGACAAACGTAAAAAAAACTTGTCTATTCGCCTTAGGGGATTCTAATAATGCTTCCTTAGAAACATTTTCTTTGACGCCAGATATTTTTGAATATAACTCTTATATTACTGAATATAAATTTGAAAATTGCAGCTGCAGGATTCTCATTTTAGAAATAAAATACTCTGACTTTAAATTTTGAGATATATTCAAACTTCATTCAGAGGTTTCGGGATTTCGTCATCAGACGTCCTCGAAGTTTCTTTTGTCAGTCTGAACTACTCAGCGCCGGAGAAGGTCTGTGAGCTGACCAAAACATCTAGGATAAATATTGAATATATGCGCGCGATCTATTCTAAGCCATGGCAAAGTGTTTTCTTTCCAACTTACAGCAGTCAAGATTAAATGAATTCTGGCTACAATACGCAAGATACGCAAAAAAATCTTATACTATTACTATTAGCTCCTTATCAAACATTTTACGAGATGGAAAGAAAGCGAAAGTTGTATTTTTTGGAAAAAGTAAACAGACTTAATTTGAGCAGGCAGCCTTTGTTCAAAAGAGCCGCTTGTCTCGCGCWACTATGAAAAAGATTGATAAGTTAGACAGCGAGGGAATAAAAGAGTGAGAAAAAAGAATATGTTCGCGACAAATAAGATAAAAAATATTAGTTCTTYGTTAAATGTAAAAGCACTAGGAAATGAAATCCCTTTTTGTGTGATTGAATCTTTCATTTTGTAKGTCTTTTTTTTGCGCGCTACTGCAAACAAAATACAGGGAGCTRAATYGCTTCAGTRCTAAGAAATAGCTTGCGAGTTCTTAGAATTATTTCCCGATTAAATTGAATGATAAAAATATCTGATAATATTCCATGTACRTATAACTTCTTGCTTACCAAATAAAACAATGCCAGGAAGAAGGCTGGAGTAAATTATGACTCGAATGGCCAACATCATCAAATATTTTTCTTCAACGTAAAACTGCAACTTGTCTCCGTTAGGTCAKGTTGTTTAGTGATTCCTGCAGGCATGGTGACGTCATGGGGTTTCTTCAAATGCTGTCTTAATACTTTATCTAAATTACTTTAAAAAAAGAATGAGCAAGCACTTTACTGTCAATAAATCTAGACGCCATTTCAATATAGAAAATTACGCCTCTCTAAAACGATTAGCGGTCGCATAAAGGGGAACGTCGCATTAGTGAAAACGTATCCCTTAGTTTCGAGTACAGACTGGAGTCTTCACGGCTAAATGTCAATGGATTTGCGACGCTTTTCCTTGCAAACTCTGGCAATTTTTTTCCAGTTTGTTGCATTAAAATGACAAGAAAAAGAAAAACTAGAAAAAAGTCTGACCAACTTATAAGACAATGCACGCTCGCTTCATTATAACCAATCACGAATTAAGAAATAAAGCATGAGTCTCTCACGCATTGACTTCCGTATCTCCAAAAAATATACACTTTCTTGATTTTCAAAGCGTATCAACCTTCTCCTTTTATTAGGATTTAACTCATTCAGACGGAGACCGCAATTGTTTCTGGGTTTAGCTGTACAAATTTGAATAAACAATTCAAACATACTCTATTGAATTTAAAGGTCGGCTTGGCCCTCCCACCGTTTTAATCATCTTCAATTTCTATGAGCTCACTATATATTATATACCAGCGAATACGGTACACCTTTTGTTATGTAAGACACTTCAACAAAAATTATACAGTAATCAACAAAATAATTTTGCTGTACATATTTAAAAGATTACTAAACCGTAGGTGTCTCGCTGGATCTATAACTGTTTTCGGCTCCAGTTGAGTTCAAAACACTTTAATTTTGATCCGAAATAGATGCACCATTCATCGATAGCATGCAATGATCATTATTGAAAAAGATATATTGTTGCCACAAATTTATATGTCAAAGTAGATATTATTTGTGAATACCGCTAATCAAGAACAAGAATCTGTCTAGGTTACAATGTCAAATCRATAACAGAAAAAAAAATCACAGTCATAAAACCAAAGATCCATGACRTGGRGAAGCCATCAATGGCCAAACTATTCCCACTAGAGGACTCAATATTACAGAGATCTCCAAAACAGCACTTTYTGTCGCAAGCAGTGAGCTTTCCACCTTCAGATATATTGGCACTAATACAGATATTGTTGCAGTATTGCGCACTGGCGCACCCGTGATATTCWGGAATTATTGTCCCGACSTCGTTAACGAGGGTCATCTTGACTCGGATGCARCGATCTTGTGATTTGGAACAYTTGACTTCCTTGGGTTTGTTGCACGTGGTCTTGTTCATAACTCCATTTATGGTCATGATGTCGCAGTTAAAACACGTGACTCCACCTCCTAAAAACACGTGACACGTGGTTATTTTCATTTCAAATCAAGATTGTGTAACAAGATTYAATTTAYTCTTGGTTTAAACAYGGCGTCACGGCAGCCATATTTGTCTTATWTGGTGGCCACCACACAGAATATTTCTCTTTCGTTTCTAGTGCTATACACAGCACATCTTTTCTTCTTTGACTGAATACRTCATTCAACATTTTTGGGAAGCCCAAGAGGCTTTATTGCTTCGGAGAAAAGTTCATTCGTTTGCCAAACTTTTGCTGACCATATATGGTAATCTTACCTTATAAGGAAGTACGTAAGAAAGTTTTTTTCCAAKTTTTTTCCACYTTTTAGTTCTTTAAAATGGCAAAAACTTACAGAATTTACAGAGAAATTGCTTTTCAACATGTCGGCCATTATAAATTTGTTCTAGTCCCCTCCCATCCTTGAAAATAGCAAAATAATAGCAAAATAAGTAAGAACTGGCTGCTAGAATAAGTGCTTCATAGCAAAATAATCTCAAAAACAGTTCATCAACAAAAGAAATTCAAAATTTATCAATAGAAATAGAGAAACACCGGACCTTTTAAGCTTAAGGGATCCCACAAAAAAACACAGGTAGCCCGCGCAATTCAAATAAATATCATAGTATAAGTGAGACTGAAATTAAATGTTAAATGATGAATTGTTTGACCGACTTCAAACTCCTGGGTCTGAGATACCCTGGGTACGAGACTCATAACGGCTGCGAGAGGAGACGAGAGGAGACTACGCTCTATCCAACAATTCAAAACCATCAAAAGCGTTGGAGAGAACCAGCATTTTAACTGTCTATAGTTGCTCTTTCAGCAATGCTGGATAGCGCTGTGAGAGATATATTTCGGTCTTGTGGTCTGATAAAGTGAAGATGTATAACTGGTGATTTTAAGCTATCAATACCTGAAGGCAATCTTGGCTCAGTCGGTATTGGGTCACGTGCGTTGCAAAGCTCTTTCTGGCAGCAGGTTTGGGTGCAATCCGACATGTTGGCTTTCAGGCAAATATTGTTATCGCACTCGACTTGCGAAGCACAGTTTCCCACATCAGCGTATTGTAGAGTTCCATCCGATTGCTTTGGTACAAGCCTAAGGCAAACATTAATGATATGTTATATATGGTGTTACAGATCGACAGTAGTGCTTGTCTTCTACGATGTCCTACCCCCAAAAAACAGATTCCTGGCAACATCAGGTTTTCGACTTACCTCTGGTAAATACAATAGTCCTTGCCACTAGGGCAATCTATTGCTTTGAGTGAGCAATCAGTTGTATCAGACGATAGACCTTTGCACTGATAAGCCTGACATTTAAGAGCATAGCCTGGGTACAAACGTTAGAAAAACTAATGTGAATGGTTGGGCTGCATGTGCTATTCTCAAAGACCCCGTTGATTTATATTTCTAAATTTCAAGATAAGGTTTTTGCAAATTTAAATTGAACATTGAATTTATATTTTTTTTGTTATAGGCCCGCTGTTGTAAAAAGACATGGACATGACACCTGAGGAGTAGTTGCACCCACACCGATTGAAAACAGAGACGCAAAGCAGAAACTATGAAATACGAACCCTTTAAGACTTGCTAAGAATGATCCAGGTTTTGCTTTGGAAATGTCTCCTCGAACAATTCAGTAACAGAAAACTTACCATAATATGTAAAATCCCTGGAATTACTGGTTTACTATTCCTGAAGCGCTCTTCCTGGTCGTGCATACTATCTGGGTCATGACCTAATAATTCTAAGTTTACTCAAATTTACCTTGTTGTGCCAAGAGCTGTAATGCCACCAGAGCAAGAGAAATTCGAAGCCATGCCGTTAAATCCATGTCCATTCGGCTATTAAATATCAAGAAATATTTTAAATCCGCAAAACAACACTTACGTTATTTGTAACACACCGAGAGAGAGAGATCTCAGCCTGGCACTTGTGGTGTTGCTCTTGGCAACGAAAGAACCAATTAAATGAATTTACATTCTTGCCGTAGACTACCCTGCGAGCAGAGTGTATTTCCTTACCTCAATAAAAATTCCTTCGCGAATTTTTATTGAGGTAAGGAAATACACTCTGCTCGCAGGGTAGCCGTAAACGGGGAGGGGTGGAAAAGGATGTGCACAGACTATATTTTTTGTTCACAGATAAATGTAATACCGTATKTGGGCGGACAAATAGTTTATATATAAAGAATTATAATTGAAAGTCATTTTTTAACCATGAACAAGAGAAAAGAGATATCAGAGCATTCAATGTTACCATATGATCAATGGCTACACAAAAGTGTGTTATAGATAATTTATTTTATCATAATTCGTGTGATTCGACAAATTCGTYGATACAATTACTGATTTTTACAATAAATAAAACTTTGTATTGTCAACGCAACAAAAACTTTCCATTTGATCATTATATTTGAACTTTTGAAAAATCTGCTCTGCAGTGAGTTCTTGTTCGACATTTTRTTGTCCTCAATAACTTGATGAGGTTATGCATTACTTACAGTAGAACCTCGTTAACCCGGTCACCGAAGAGATACCGAAATGTTGCCGTATTAATCGGGCAGAAAAGTATGTGGATTTAGTTTGCGGTGTCCTGAAAACTTGGCCGTCATGACGGGGTGGCCGTATAAGATGAGGTTCCRTTGTAACAAAAACATGGTCGACCAGTTTTGTTTGCTTAATTACATTAAACCTAGTGAAGGATACGTTATTACTTGTAAAATTTCATTCTCTCAGCAGGCTAGTAACGAGGTATATTTTTTTGCTGTTRATCCGGATCAAAACGGCCTAAAAACGTGATCCCGATCCCAAAACTCCGTACATTTTGAGCCCTGATCCCCTTACAGAATCGTTGAAAAAACTCATTGATCCCGATCCCAGTTGAAAAGCCTTTGATCCCAGGTTAAATCCATTTGATCCGGATCCTGGGCCTAAATCCTGATCCCAGAATAGTCCAAAAAATGACGCTGATCTCTGATCCCAAGACCTCGTTACTAGCCTGTCTCAGGGATTACAATTGTCGCCATCTTGAATTCAATGATTTATGCTAATACGAGGCATAAATTATGAATTGTCATGGGCATTTAACCATTATTCAAAATTGAATGTTTCAATATAATAATTATAGTTATAAAGACGTACATTTATCCGACGTACWCTTTTTTAGTAAAAACCAACGATATCTAATCACCGCTATTTAGCACTATTTCAACACTACTTGGCTAGTACCATTTCAAGTTTTTAGGTTTTGAACTTTTCTGACCTAAAAAAGTACTTTTTTACAGTTAAATATTAAGTTGCGCTCTTGCAAGTTYCAAGTTTAACAATTCAAGGTGACGGCTATTACAGTAAAAATCAAAAATCATGCTTATAATTTGAAGGCCTKAACTGGAATGACATGGTTAACATTTTACAAGATAAATTTATAAGTTTTCGTTTGTTGCTTGTTCTGCATAATTCAATATGTACTTAAAGCAATGCCTGATTTTTTATCTAAAGCTGCATTCAAACGCTCAATTTCATATCAATTAACTTTTCCAACGAATCACTGATTTTAGTCGTTGATGGTCCAAGACACTGGTGAAAATATTAATTACGCTAGTTAAAAAGCCTTGGTWATAAACAATTGCTTCTTTTAGTTCTCATTCCTACGCGACTTTGCCAAAGATGGCGGCTACCAATGCTATTATCACTATCCCATCAGCCACTGCGAGGTATCCAGCTTTTCCCGTGGGGGCTACYGGCTTTGAAGTAGTCTTTGTATGGTTCGTCCCTGCACTCATGCCTGAAGTTGGAGAAGCAGAGGCACTTGGAGCCATTTTAGATGGGCTTGGATTTTTTGTGGTAGCTTCTGGCTTTGTAGTCGTTGTAGGTGTTGTGATCGATGTCATCAGGCCTTGAGTTGGAGTTGTGCTGGCGGCGGCAGCATCAACGTTGCTTGTTGTAACAGCACTGRTGGTTGTTGTGGTCGGTACTRCTGTTGTGGTTTTCTCATKTTKTGATGTTTGTACGACTTGGATTGTGCTACTGGGAGTGGCCTTGACACTTGTTGTGGTCACGTGTGTCGTGGTCAYGTGTGMCGTRGTGGACGGTGAGGTGGTTGAGCAGTTGCTACAGTCTTCACACAATGCTAGAAATTATAGTAATATAAATTTATATACAGTTTCTGATATAAACATAATTAAAAAGATAGAAGATTTTTCCTAAAAAACGGCACCGATTTTTTTTCTCTCGCAGCCGTCATATAATACTGTACTTTTTCTTTCCGAAAAAAATATTGATCGAAATAATTATTGACTGATTCGTATTTAAAAATAGAATGTATTGAGAATAGCTTGGCAAAAAAATAGGAAAGCAATGTCGGTTTGATCTAAAGCATGCAGGAGACACATACAGGATATTCAGTTTTAATTAAATGTTGCTTAATGATGCATCCCCAGGAGAGTATTTTTCGCTCAAACCAAAATAGAATAATCCCGCATTTTATCATGGACAAACTTTCTTGATAAAAGCTAATTACAATTTATACTTTACAATATCTGTATTGCCGCATTGTCAAAACGGATTGTTTTCAGTCGTCGCGGAAGCGAAATTCACTATCAATTCGAAGTGAATATATGCATCAATATTAATATCACATATGATGTCAGACAATCAATCTAATTTTAGCTAACTGAATTTTGTGCTGATACAATTCTATTCCAATCTCTGTAATTTGTCTAATTATATCCTTAAATTCTAAGCATTTTAAATCATCTTTTAATTTTTATAATAAATATCTATTTTAGTAAATATTCCTTGAGCAAATATCTAAAGATAAAGTTTACTTAAAGTCATGTCATTTCCGATTGTGGATTTACGTCATGTGACGCGCGCTAAACAACTATTCGCTGTTATCATGTTTGAGTTGTTGTTGTTTTTCTTTCCAATTTTATCGCAGCTTTAGATATGAATTTTTCAATAGAATCGAGTCAATATTGATGTATTCGGTGACACTGACATTATAGAATAAAAGCAAGGCCGCCATGTTTAATTTCAAGGTGTTTTGGAAGAAACGGTCTGTGAGGTGCCCGGGAAACACTCCATGTAAAATTTATCAACTGCACCTTTTTAAAAATCCTACAATCTAAATGCTTCTTCTTTCATGTTATCAAAATACGAAATGACATATGTATTAGCAGGCAAATGAATTTCGATGATTTGTAGCCATAATCCTTGTTTCATATCATAAAATTATCAAATAATGTAATTCTACTCAGTATACAGATAACTATAACTTTTTTAATAAAACTAATGACTTTTTTAGATAAACTAATCAATCTTTTTAAATGTTAGTTAGTGTATTAGATATCAAGTAATATTCCACTTGTTTGTAATATAAGTTGATATAGWTCTTTGGTTGTCGCGGAGAATTGAGGTGACTTTTCTGACATGCATGGTGGATGTGGCTTGTGCGTTATAAAAATACTTTTGCGTTATAAGATTGATACACAAAATACTATAAAATCTTTGTCAATTTTACCAGCTTAAATTCATYATTTATACGGTGATTGACATAAATTTGAAGAACAAATACACACTGTCTATCAATACATTTAAGACAATTTTCAAAAAAACAGTATTCAAGCAAATTTTCCATTGAATTTCCTAGCGAAATCGAAACTATAATGAAATTACTTCTATTCAAATTCCTTCTAAAGCAAACGTCGCAACGTAAATGATTGTTTAGGTTTTTACAATTAAGATAAAACATTCAGCAATTAATTATGATATTGGCCAAAAAATTTCCTGTCACTTTTGTAAGCAATCTTTGAATTGCGGCCCGAAGCAATAAAGAAAGCCAAGTATAGTTCACTCGGTGAGGAACTATGTTTATAAYGAAATTAAGTCAGCATGCGGAGGATGTAATTAAATCCTTATTACCTTTTATAATTGAATAGGAAAAATCCTTTGGTTTRCATTTCACGCTTAGAAGAATGGGGTATGGGAGTGTTTTTTGTATTATAGATGGTTTTCATAAATCCGTGACATACAATTTTCTAACTACACTTCATTACTTAACCATGTATGTTTTTCTTAGTACTTCGACGTGACAGTTACACCTTAGTAGACTTTTTCTATTTCATTTTGTTCAACTCAACCCGTGAAACAAAGTACTGTAATTTTAATCATAATTATTCTTGACGTGCATGCTACGTCATAGCTTCCAATATGGCGGCGATTGCTTTCCTCACAAAGAATAGCTTGTGTTTAACAGTTTCTAATAGTCTACAACACTGAGAGGAAGCTATTATTTTTTATGGAATTTGGGTCTACTAGAGTAAGTTTCTATTAGCTAGATTAATAGCTATCTTATTTGTACTCTTGGGCGTAGTAGAGAAATACTTTGCATGTGTTTAGCGTCCATTTCTTTACTTGTTATTCCTAAGTACTTGGAAATTGTATTGTTGTTTGACTGCGAATGTTGACACGCTCTTGAGACTCTTCAGCGAAAAATTGGAAAGAAACCATTTGCTAACCGCATGGTCACATAAAGGGAAAAAGTATAAGTGCGAAAAGAAAAGAATTGAAACGGGAAGCTAAAGAGCAGGAAGCTTGAGATTATTATGTCATCGACAGTTGAGGGCAACTTTAGGTCAAAAAAAAATATACACGTAGCTGCATTTATTTTTTCAAGTGGGATATCGAGATTTGGAAAAATGACAGATGAATTAATATAACTTGTCTTTAATTTAAAGTCACATGTTTGTTGTATATATTGAAAGTCAACACCTCGCATATTAACTATCAGGTACCCGCGAATCGAAATTAAAAATCACCCAAACACGATTTTTTAAAGCATTTATTTAGCTTGTAATGTAAACGCATTTTTTAAGTGCGGAAATTCTAATAAACAAGGCTTTTAGTTACATTTAATGAAGAGAATATATATTGATTTTCGAGCGTGAAATTGTCACTTTCTTGGCACAAGTGATCATACACCTGATATTTAAAAAAGCTTTCAATAAAATATCTAAACAAACGAAATTTGATATAGAAAATCTCGCGCAACTCACATGCAAAGCCATTTTACATAAAATTTAGATAATCCCCATGTGGTCGTCAATTAAGGTATTCCCATGGCAGTTAAAAAAGTGGACTAGAATCTATTTGTCTTAATAGAGCGTTATTGGAAGGTCAAAACATAGCTTTCCAAAATTTCAGTAATAATTGATGTTGTTGGCTGGATCTCGTATAGCATGCACAYCGAGAGAGAAWTATGAATTTCTTTGAGAAATTTCAGGGCGTTTGCTTTCAACTGCCGTTACTTTTRACGTAGCCCCGTACGTGCGTTTAGAACATTAAACTATGTAACATTAGAAAAGGGGTTTGGGGATTTAAATGCACAGGTTTGCCAGCGGCTTTAGTTATCAAGCGACAACACATGGAATATCAACTAAAAGAATAAAAGACTCCTTTAAACCGTTATTATCCTAACGAATGAAGCTTAGCAATGGGCTCAGTGATAGAACAGAGCGCTTTCAAAATAAGATATTTTGTAGCACTTACTGATTCAGCGAAACCGCAGATGTAGGGTGGAAATGATCTCRACATTAAATGTGTTAAAAAATAAGAAAAAACCTACCTCTGAGTGCAAGGGTAATAAAAAAGGCAGCGAATAATGCGATCTTCATTGCTAAACAGTTTTCAAAAGATTTTGACTTGACGTGAAGTACGTGTGGCAACTATCTTGACCTGCAACAGAAATCCCCAACAGAGACAAGACCCAGACAAAATCAGAATGGAATGGAAATCGGAATAACATATTCATGCGTCTAACTGCAGCCTGTTGACATAACCAACGAACCAATCATAAGCTGACATGATCTTAAACTAATGATGCTGTTGGCGTCATCGGTAGATATGCTAAAAATAGTTACGTAAGGCTGAGCAATATACATCTATGTATTTTAGATTGTTTTTTATGGGTGGAACATTTCAGTATTCTTTCTAAGGTTCAGAAATCGAACGCGTTGAATTCAATTTGGTATTCAAGGCAGTATGGTGACAATATTTATATAAAATAGTCAAGGCGAAACATCAAAAAACAAGTGAAATGCTATATGTCAAATCCCTCAAAGCCAAAATGAAATAGTCCAATTACAGAAAAGTGCAAGTCCATTTGCGGTAAATCGTCATTTCCTTTTTTTTCTTTTTGCTGTTTTCCTCGCGACTATTTGATACGTGACAATTTAGTAAACTATTGACACGTGACAAGTTATTGGACTAGTGTTTCTCGGGTTTGYGCTTATTTCACGGCGCATTCTAAAAGTAGACAAAATACTAGGAAAAAAGAGTTGGATGATCCTCATACATTTTTATAATTAGCCCTTTCAGCTGTTCATCTCTATTCCATGTTTACAAACCGCACGTGATATGACAGATTGCGATATCTTTATTTGTATACAATTCAAGTTTATTTGTTTTATCAGAATGACGTACAATGACAGATACCTGYAATTGGAATAAATACTTTATTTATTTTCAAAATATATCAATCAATTGAAGTATTTTTGTACAGCATATTTCAGAAGAAAGCTTTACGTATATTTTTAATATTTTTACCGCACTTGTGTGAATTCTCGCGCGCTGATTGGCTAAGTAGAAACTGTGCGCTGGTGGTTCCACTTGAGTTTTGAACATTTTATGACGTCAAACGTGTGTCAGTAAGAGGACGTACAATGAAAAACCGTGCTGTTAATTTTAAAAACAGCAAAGTTGAGAGATTACGAGAGAGTATCAACTCGTTTTTACCAGACTGTATGGTCTGATCTTGTTTGTATCCATACCCTGGTTTCAAAGGTTTTYTCGGCCTTTATAGATGTTTTTTTGTTTAGTATTTATCGTATCTTTGTCTTTCCTTTTAACGACGCAAGAAGAAAACCTGTGGTCGGGACCGTCCCCAGCCCCTCCCCTTCCGTTTTCCCCCTCCCCCTTCCCCTAGAGCCGCCACGCAGGCTAAAAATCTTACTTTCATGCCWCCCTTCGGATGACTGCTGTCAAATATGTCATTTTTTGTCTGCCAATAATATGAAAGGATAAACTATGCCCACACGAGGGGTATATATTTTAGCCAATCATATTCCTCCTTTAGAGATTAAATATTTCCACCAATCACAAACGCCGATCCGAAGCGGGTTGCATGAAAGTGAGATTCTCAACGGTCCCGACCAGAGACGTTTAAATTTTAAAAGAAAAGACAAAAATATGATAAATACTAAAAAACATCTATAAAAGAGAAAACCTCTGGAACCAGGGTATTGTTGGTCCAGCAATTAAACTATAAGGCAAATTTGAAAAAGGACCATAAAGAACAATTTTGCTCGACTTCATTTGGACTATTTTTGCTTCATTCGATGTGACCATGTTATATCATGAATATACCATAGTTCACTAGGCAATCAGAATCCTGAATTTTTGGTGGGTACTAAAAATAGCTACATCTAATTGCAACATCGAGATCAATAGACATATTATAAATTGTTGTTTACATATACTCGGTTGACCAATAGTATCATATCAAAAACAAAAACATAAATCTTATTGGACAGCCAAGTGTGACATCATTGAAAATTTACATAAATGTTATTTTCTTCTATTGCATCGGCCTTTTTGCATTTAGATATATGTTATATATGACATAATCTTCATACATAATTTTCACAAATCAGCAATATAACGGGCAACCTAATTTTTTAACTTTTGAAACGATTGCCACAAGGACTTTCAAACATATATCTTGAACATTAACTCACACTTATAAAATGCCTTAGCAACAAGTATCATATCAAAAACAAAAACATAAATCTTATTGGACAGCCAAGTGTGACATCATTGAAAATTTACATAAATGTTATTTTCTTCTATTGCATCGGCCTTTTTGCATTTAGATATATGTTATATATGACATAATCTTCATACATAATTTTCACAAATCAGCAATATAACGGGCAACCTAATTTTTTAACTTTTGAAACGATTGCCACAAGGACTTTCAAACATATATCTTGAACATTAACTCACACTTATAAAATGCTTTAGCAACATAACAATAAAATGCCTTAGCAACATAACAATAAAATGCCTTAGCAACATAACAATAAAATGCCTTAGCAACATAACAATAAAATGCCTTAGCAACATAAGTTATGTTAAATGACTACAATATTTGTATTCCAGGGCCTTCTCGGCCAACAGCAATTCAAGATGTCGGTCGTCGGGACGGAGATCTTTTAAAATATCTGTTGAAAGTCATCATTATAATTTGGCCAATTTAGCGATTATTGGGGTTTCTTTTAATGTTAATAATCCCAACGTATTTTCTAAAATTCTTATCTTATAATCGGACGGAGAAATTACCGAATAAATCAAGCTGCATGGCTTGAATATTCACAGCATTATTTTTGGTTAAACAGATTTTTATTGATTTTGATATTTAGACGCTTTTTRGTAAATATTTCGTTTTTAATAATTCCGGGCACCATTTTGAATCTGAGACACACGATTAAAAGCTCCAAGAATCTTCCGCACTTCAATTTTAGGTAATTATGATGTGAAGGGCCATTTACCCGACAATCGCCATCTTGAATATGCTATAAGCACAGATTACTCAGATGGTAAAATCAGGAAATAATCTTTCAGAAATTCTTGTTCGAAAATAAGTTGCAAACACTCAGTTATATAATCATGCATTTTATAACTGGAAATATCTATTGATTCAAAAACAAAACAAAAATGCTTGGGCCACCCGTATATAAATCACACCTTTTTACAAATAAAAAAAAATTCTGATAATCACACAGTTGTGCCAAGACTTCTCCTCGCTGATTCAACTCCATGGGATCCCTGTGGTTTTTGCGTTCGCTTAACACAATGGAATCCCAAAGAGCTAAAATAGCTGAGAAGTTTGAAGACTCATTTGTATAATACACTATATGGCGTAACACTATGTTGAAGAATTTAAAACATAGCAATTTGTAAGTCAATCAAATGGATATATTAAATCTACATTGTTTTSCCTTTACACGCTCTTTCAGCCCTTTTTATTAAGTTTTTTTGYTTAATTTTTATAGATCAGTATATTTGTGTCGAAGCATATTCTTCCCATATGTACAGATTTTGTTAAACTCCGGCATTTTCCTCTCCGTCCAATTTTTTTATGTCAACAAAACAATTCTCATTCAAATGTTAGTTTTTCAACCATATTGTACAAATCACTTATCTTTTGCTACACATAGCCAGTTCCATCAGCAAWGCTCCGTGTAAAAACTTTCTGCAGACATTGAAGTCTGGACCCATATCTCTTTATCGTTTTTATTGCATTGAGATTTCCGGTGTCGGTTTCTCGCATAGAAAGTTGATGAATTCCAGATGATCCTCAATCTACACCGAATTGCAAAGATGTTGTCAGAGAGAAACAGAAGATTTGTACCGCAGTCATTAATGGACGAAAGAAAGCGTTTAACGAGTACACCTTCGTTTGTCTTTTAGAGTGAAGTCAAAAAACCCGTGAAATTGATATTCACTATTACTATTGCCATACTTGTGTAYTATTGCAAATCCTTCGTTCTGATTGGATAAGCTATTCGGGGTCTATTTTCAATAGTCCTCGACYAGCGAAAATCGACAACTTTTGGCGAATTTTTAGCAATAAAAACATTTAGTTATTTATATRTTTCATTACTTTTTTTTGTCCAACTAGTATTATAATACTAAAACAATTAGATCTCTCGGCCTCGTGGACTACTACTGAATTTGTGATAGTTTGATGGATATTATAGTACTACGCTCAAATTCCCCTCTTTTCTTCTTTGTTTGAATTTTGCGTCTATTGACTATCACACTTTAACAGTTAGATTTTGTTTCACGGGTCTACTAACGACCAATATTACTTTCATTGACTAATGTTCTATTTCTCTAAGACAACATCTTTGATATAAGATATAGTACAATGTACGCACAGTGTTGACGCAATGAACGGCTGTGTCTGTTTTCCCTACACACATAGGCCATTTACATTGTAACTTTGTTCTTCGTAATAAAGTATAGACAAGGCAAGTTATATACAAGGCCAGCTGAGGCAGATGAAATGCAGGAAGAAGTGTTATTCTCATAAATGTCGAAGAATTGAACCGATATCTTTTCCAATATCTTTGACTTGGCTTTCATACTTCTCTGCTCTTTAATCTTTGAAGTAGATACTAGGTTTTGAGGTTTAGTAAATAATATATGCGCTTCTCTGATTTAAGTAGACTTGTAGACACGCAAAGAATGGCGAAGAACCAATTCAAAAACATCTTGAACTTCGACGTTCACACTTCAGGTTGTTGTTCTAGATATAAAGGTCTCGAGTTTTCTAATTCAAGATGAAGTATGTAACAAACAATGCAACAGGAACATACAAAAGCATGGGTGTCCGCGACGTAGAACCGGAGCTGTATCCAAGGACATTTGTTTGTTTCGTGGCTGGCACCGGCACGGCATTGCAATAGTCGTGCTCGTTGCAACACCGAATACTACAACTTTTCAACGTAACGGAATTCGAAGCTAATGTCTTGTTTGCATTTTCGCAAAATTGATCTCGGAGATCCAGGCAGCCAAGTTCAATACTACACCCTTTTATAGTATGTATGTAGCTTTCGTTTTGTTCTTTTATAAGCATGTTGTACGTATAGCACGAGTCAAAGATATCACCTAAGTCTTGGTCGTCTTCACAGTTTACAGGTACATCTTCGCAATCTTGGGAATCGGGATCACACTGTACACATTTGAA